CTTAAATAGGCTTTTTCTGTTATACGCTTATATCCGCCCGCTCGGCGTCGGTAATACTTCGTAAAGTCCGCTTTAGTGGTATCTTCAGCCTACTAACCTTATAGGTATAGAAGTTAAAGAATTTATTAAGGAATAGGCTATAATACTAGGGAAAAGATACACCGTAACGGATAATACTATTCGAACTTAATAGTCGTATATTATATAGACTTTAACTTAAGAAGGAAAAGGGAACTTTTCCCCCTTTACACTAACGTGGTAATTTAGTCTCGCCGAATACTCGGCGATCTAAGCATATCTCCGATCCTATATAGTGCTAATCTATAGTGCTACTTAGTTCCTTATAAAAGGACTCTTAAAAGTTATAGCCGAAAGAATCGTCGACGGAGGTATCTAATTTTATCGATAACCAGGACGAGGATTCTGATAAGAAATCCTATAGAATATACTCTCTTCTATAACTAAATGGTAACATTAGCAGTAACCTCCTTAACCAGCTATTAATCGATTCCGGCACCTCTAGACATATCACTAACGAATAACACCTGCTACAGGACTTCGAACCTGCTATAGAAAAGTATTGTTTTTGAACAGGTGGTAGAGAGACTAAGCTAGTTAAGAGTTATAGCAGGATATGATTAGAGATAGACGACGAATATAGTAATCCCTTCGTTTTAATACTAAATCGCGTTACTTTTATATAAGAGTACCGAATAACCTTAATCGCGACTAGAAGATTAAAGGAATAGGGTATCGTTTTTAACACCGACCTCGAGGTCTTAAAGGTTAAGAGATCTGCCGAAGAGGGCTTATTAGCCCTAGCACTTAATAACGTTAACGACTAATACGCCCTTATTCCGACCGGTCGCTAATAGCACCTACTAAGCAGCTTCTTTAATAGCTCCACGACTCCTACTATAAGCGTGGCTAACGCTTATTTATAGCACGAGAGGCTAAGGCACGCCCGCGCTACTACCCTCGATAAAATTAGCGATGCCCTTATTAGAGGCGTGATAAAAGAACGTTAAAAAGGCCCTCTTATAGTAGACTATACGGCCTATACCCTTAGTAAGGCAAAGAAGGTTATCTCGAGAAGGTCACCTAACTACTAAACAATAAGGCCGTGGTATAGGGTAGAGGTTAACCTATTTAGCCTTAACGAGGCCTATACCGGTATAAAGGTCGTGATGCTTTTATACAATCCCTGTACTCATTAAGCTATTATAAGGTTCCTGCGTGACCATAAATCAGCCTTATCTATATTAGTGAATTTTAAGTTTTTCCTTTAGAGGCAGTACCACTATATAATTACAGTGATCCGACTAGATAGAGAAAGATCACTTTAGAAAGGCTTTGATAAATAGGCCGATAAGAGAGGCATTTTGCTTAAGAGGTTATCGCCATATATAACCGCGCAGAATCCGAAGGCAGAACGTCATGGCGGCGTTATTCTTACTATCGCGAGGACCCTTATAACGGCCTTAGGCATCTAATAGGATATATAGCCAGAACTAGTGGCTACTATAGTATATCTATATAACCTTATCCCTCGGAAGGACTTCTAGTAGAAAACCCCTTAAGGGCAGATAGAGGATTGGACTAATAAATAAGGCCTGAAGAAGATCTTGATAAAGCCTATCGTTAGCTACTTAAAGAGGTATAGTTATAAAGTATATCCACTAACCGCCGACTATTAACGAGGTCGTAACCGTAACGCTAAGCTCGCGGAGAGAGTATATATCGGCTATTTAATCGGCTACGAGAGCACTAATATATATCAGATTTAGGTGCTAAAATTAGGGAGGATTCTATGGATAAAAGACGTTACCTTTAACGAAAAACAGCTATATAAAGATCGTGACTACGAACCTAAGGTGTTAATTAAGGTTTTCAAGTAGCATAATCTGCCTATAGATTATTAACTCCATAATCCTCTAGGTATTACTACTAATATAGTCCATTTCTACCCTTAAACGCTGCTAGAACAGAATACTATAAGGGAGGCTATAGCGGCCGCTGCTACTGCTAGTGCTTCTAAGGGGGTGGATAGAGGTGTAGGTTTAATAACCACTACAGAATCTACAGAAGAATAATAATAGCAGGAATAGCAGGAAGCACCTAATTAAGAGGCACGTGGAACAGGGCAAACAAGCCCTACAACGCCTTCCACGCCTCCGGCGGCACCTGCTTCAACGTCTTCCACAATTACACCTATAATTATACCTGTAACGGCACCTGTTTTCCCTCCTTCAACCACCACAAACGGCCCTCCTACACCACTAACTAGAACTACGGATCTACCGCCTATTTTTAAATAGCCTAACGATACCGAAGATTAATCTAACGATACGGCCGTAACCGGCGATACCGTCGAAATAGGATTATTATCCCCTGACTAGTCGGTTCTTAAAGAGGAATCAACCACTGCTGCCACCGCCGTTAATCTGGTATCCACGGCTCCTGCTAAGTCTTCATAACCCTCTTCTTCCACTACCACTACTAACTAACCTTCCTCTTCCACTAGCAGAAAAAGCCGCCCTCCTATTATTCCGACAGCCGCTACCGACCGGCCTACCCGTAGTAGGCGTCTAACCGACTATTATACCCCTCCTTCCTTTTATACCTTCTATAACCAGATTAACATACCAAAGAAGCCACTGCTACGCCGCGATATACCTAAGGAACCTCTGAACTAGTCTTAAATACTAAAGAGTCCCTATAAATTAGAATAGATTAAGGCCGCCTTATAGGAGGTCGGCATGCTTAAGTCAATAGATACCTCTAAACGGTAGGAATAGTCTTACTAGTAGGGGCACGGCTCGGGACTCTTTAAATTAGTTCTAAGGCCACTAGACCTTAAATAGGTTTTTAAGTATAAGGTTAATCCTATAGGCTACGTTAATAAGTTTAAGGTACGCCTTTATGTTTAAGAGGATTAATAACCTAATAACCACCTTAACGCCTACGCTTCTACCCTCACGGGAAGGACCTTTAGGTCGCTAATAGGTATTATAGCCTACTTTGATCTTAAAACTCGGTAACTTAACGCCGTTAACGTGTTCACTAATACCCTGCTTAACGAGGAAATCTATATTAAGGACCCCCTTAGTTAGTAGCTTCTCTAGTCGGCTACGGGCCTTAAAGCCCACGAATAGCTCGAGGACCTTTTAAAGTAATACCCTCCTATATAACGTACAGGGAATTAACGGCTACGCAGGGCGTTATATAGCCTTTGGCATTCCCTAAAGCTATAGCACTAATAGCTCTTTTCCGTACTAGGTAAGTGCAGTTTAAAGTAATTAACCGAAGACAATTAGGTCTTTAAGAATAAGGTCCTGATTACTTTCTTTTACGTTAATAATATTATCCTAATCTACCGTAAGGAATATTAATCTGCTACTAATAATCTAGTATAGCAGATACAGAAGAACTTCTAAGTCAGGGATCTAGGACCACTTAAATGGTTCCTTAGAATCCATGTAGGACGCGATCATTAATAATATAAGCTATAGTTATCGCTTAATAACTATATCACCGATAAGATAAAGGCGTTATAGGTGAATGATAGAGGTTATAGGGTTAAAAGCCCTCTTTCTTATCCTAATATCTTATAACCCTCCACCGACTAATAAGCCTCCGAAGAATTAATCTATCTATATCTTCGGAAGGTCGGTTCTATTAACTACGCCGCCTATTAGACCCGGCCTAATATCTCTAAAGCCGCTTCGAGGCTTACCGAATTTAGTACTAACCCCTTAAAATAGTATCACGAAGCTATAGATAGGTGCCTAAAATACCTCGGCTTAATAAAGACCCTATACCTCTACTTCGGACCACGTAAAGACCACTAAAAGCCTGCACTCTTCTATACCTCCGACGCCGCCTTCGCGGACGACAGTAAGACTAAGTATAGTTCCTAAGAGTATACTACCTTACTATTCGGGGGTCTTATAGACTAGAAGGTAAATAAGTAAATAAGTAATATAACCTCTAGTACTAAAGCCGAGCTTATAGCGCTTTCTGCTACTACTAAGTAGTATATCACGACGAGGCGTTTAATAAAGGACCTTACCCTTACCTTTAAGGAGGAACCACTAACTATATACTACGATAATTAATAAACTAAGTAACTATTAGAGTCGCCGTGGCCTTAGGTTACCTTAAAATTAAAGTATCTTAATATCCACGCCCTTTAGATCCGATAAACCGTTTAAAAAGGGGCCGTCTTAATTAATTAGATCGCCACTAACGATATAGTTAGCGATAGCCTTATAAAAGTACTACCCCTATAGAAACACAGGGCGCTTATATATCTGTTTAGTATAGAGGTCCCGCCGAAATAGGATTAAAGTAATTAATAGAGACGACGATCTTCTATTACGTTTTAATTAAAGGAAAACGGTTAATTAGACCGTTATTTTAAGTGTTTTTATACCCCTATAGACTATTATTTAGGTACTGTTTTTAACACTTTTTAACTGCTTTTTGGCTTTAACGCCTATAACGCCGTTAATTAATATCTAAGCCCGATTTACCCTGGCTTTTAAGCATTCAACGAGCAGAATAGTTAGGATTAATCCTACTATTCTAGGGGGTGTGTCAGATACCTATAGCCACCTTATCGAGGTATAATAAACCATATTATATCAGACGTGTGGAGTACCTCGTTCCTATATATCCACCCTTATTTCCCCTGCTTTTTCCGTATAGTTAGACATCCCCGTAAAGTATCACAAACTTCACTTAGATGAATACACACACAATTCCGCGTACCTTATTTGTGTTCTGACAACTGGTATACACGGCTTCATCTTTAACTCATCTTGTACCAACCTCACATATACCCCGTCACTCGTTGCAAAATTCTTGCCCGGACACCTGTCAAATATTTCTGGCCATCGGCCTTGCGATACGTGAGCTTGTGGTCTGTGGACTTCTTGTCACCTCTTCAATATCAAGGACGCAGCCAACTCCAGCAAACCAAAACCAAAACCAGCAAGATGAAGCTCGTCAGGTAAGCGGTCGTCCTGTCACAATTGGCCTCAGAGGACCAGGCTGAAGACTCGCATTTGACTTCTTCCCCTCTTTGCCTAGCCCAACGGTGCGGACCACTGTATCTGACTTGAAAAAAAAAACTTCTTTCGCACAGATTCCTGATGAAATGCGCCAACGAAACGGTCACAATCGAACTTAAAAATGGTTAGTTAGTCGCCTGTCTGCACAAGGTCTGAATGATCTGGCCTCTGCTGGGAAGGGGAAGAGTGGAGAGGTTACACAGGAGGATGCACTCGTGACATGAACGGCAGGGAGCCCTTGGGGAACCCTTGGCTAACGATCGCCCAATTCGCCACAGGCACCATTGTCCATGGCACCATTATGTCCGTCTCGCCTCAAATGAACACGGCTTTGAGGACAGTCAAGATGACACACAAGGGCCAAGAACCCATGTCCCTTGATACCATGAACATCCGCGGGTCGACCATCCGCTATTTCATCCTCCCGGACTCTCTACCGCTCGATACCTTACTCATCGACGATGCGCCGAAACCGAAAAACAAGGCAAGGAAGGAGGCGGATCGGGGTCGCGGAGGGCGCGGTGGAGGTCGCGGACGGGGTCGGGGCAGAGGACGTGGCCGTGGAAGAGGCTAGTGGTAGCGAGGCTGGCAACGTACGCGTCAAGGAAGGACATGGGCTGGCTATTGCCCCCAACGACCAATGGGATGGATATACGACGGTCCTCGGCGGATCATGCTGTGCGGTGATAAAATTAATCTCGCCACATCTGAGGGAGGATAGCTTGTGGCAAAGGGATATGCGACCCAGAAAGGCAGACCTTGGTACAGGGGCCGTGGGTGGTGTGTATAATGGCAACCCTTCCGACGTCGCCGTGCCCCTGGGAGGATGCGTGCGTATATGACGCCTGCTGTTGTCTGGGTCGCATTCACCCTGCGATGTGCCTTGTATCGGCGTCATTTTTCGGATCCTTTTTTTTTTCGCCGTTTTCTTTTGGCGCGACGGCGATGAGTGCTCAACAATATTACACAATACCACCAGGGACGGACAGGACTATTGGACTTATTGTTACGACAGCCGGTCAATGTTCTCCTTTTGACTTGCGTGGTGGGATGGTGAGTGGAGGTAGATGCCAAGTCATCATTTCCGTCGTCCATATGCTGGAATGAGTAGATTGCTCGATTGCTCGATGAAAAAGACAGTAAAGGAAAACAAGACAAAACAACAATAGACAACCCATTCCACCTACCAGGCGGTGTGTCATGATTCTCGCCTGTCTCTTACGTTGTCCTTCGAGATTCTGATGACTTGCAACTTCTCCCACCCGGCCTTGTTTCCGCTCTCGCCGACGGTCAGTGCCCTCCAAGACGGGCCTAATCTGCCAACCCGGGCTTTGACATCGTCGGGTTTGTTTTGTGCACATAACAGTATGTAGGCACAGCCTCGCGCCGAGAGGATATCAGGCAGGGATTCGACCAGCCGACTTGTCGTTTCCATGCCATCTCTCCCTCCGGCGTAGGATAAGGCCAGGAGGTATGAATCCCCGTCGAAGCTGGGGGTGCGGTCCGTCAGGTTCGAGAGCGAGTACGCAAGGCCGGCGAGGTCACTGGGTGCCGCGGCGTCGGGCGGTAGAGAAGGTAGTGCTTCGGACGGGACGTACGGCGGGTTAAACAGCAGGATGTCCACTTTGCCAGGAGGCAGTGGGGCGGCAAGGTCTCCCACGTCGGCACCGAGCCAGCACGGAGCATGGGTCCCAGGGTGATCAACCTGGGCCTTGCGGACGGTGTCGTTGGTGGCGCGACAGGCAAAGGGGTTGACGTCGACGCCAGCGGCGAGGATATCGCGCCTGCCGAACAGGTGAGCTGCCTGGGCGACGACGAAAGCGATCACGACGCCCGAGCCTGTGCCCACTTCCAGGACGAGTGGAGGATGGCCTTGGAACCTAGCGTGCAGAAAGGCCGTTTCGGCTGGGGCGGATAGGGTGTCCAGAAGGAGGTATGAGTCCTCAGAAGGCTCGTATACACGGCTGAAGGGCACATGTGAGGTGTCTGGTGTTGGAAGCATCTTTCTTTCTTACGCAAGGTGATATGGAATGGTGAGGTTTGGGTTCACATCGAATGACATTTAAGGCTGATAAAATGTCCGTCAATTGATGTTGTCGACCCTTTCATTACGATCGTAGGTAAATCAGGGTGTGTGAATTTGCTTAATTAATTTGCATCCGGTGGTCTCCAGATCCATACTTTATGGGCCGGCTTATTACTTAGCATCATCCTCGATTTCAACATCCAGAATGCGCAACTCCCATTGTTTCTTTCCTCTGCAATCATCTCTACCGAAATTGACCCCTCCTGCGCTGTGTTAGGTTCAATTTGGTGCTGCCCAGTTCTCAATACGTTTTGATCTCTAGCCCCTGGTCCCTAGATATGAATACTAATACACAATACGTCTTCAACTTCCTCACATCACGACACATCGAAACTCGCACCCGGAATCCTGTCGGTTCGGGCCCGTCCCCCACTTAAGGCCCCTCCGGGTGCCAACAACCATGCGGATACAGTTCCGGTCGTAGACTCCGTGTAGCCCATGTTCCGGACACAGCCTGTATGCGGACTTCTGCGTCATGGGTCCTGGTCGCGCCACGCCGCTGCCGATCTGCCCACAGGTGCTGAAACCCATACCAGGCCCACAGGGAAGGCTGATCTCGCCCCAGCGACACTTGCAGTTCACGTTTTGGTGCAGAGTGACTTGGCACATTGCGTCTTTCTTTGCCCCTCGCTCTTTTCGAGATGTCTAAACGCGATGAGAAGAGTTACGGCCTGGCTTCGGGAAGTGTGAGGAAAAGTATATGCCGAAAAAGAAGAGCGAGGGGCCCATCCCTCTAGCTCTTCTCCGCAGAGATAAGGGGTGAAGAGCAAACTCAACTCACCCTGGCCTTAGTTGGTCTAGGTGTTATTTATCCTTCTGGCAGTAAAATGGTATACCGATATCGACTATGGTACGCTCCTGTGTCAGACAGGTATAGCCTGTGGTCTTCTGTGTCTGAGCCCTTAGTCTATACACCCTGCGATATGCAGCAGATGGGTGAGGGGAGAGAACGGGATGTGATGAAGGCAACAAGGTCTCTTGAGAGGACAGTTCCTCGTCAATCATTTACCTGCGAATTCGTTCTGATGTGAAGCTGAATAATGCGGGTATGTCGGTTTCTGGGAATGGGGAAAGACGCGCAACATATTATATATAAGACGTGAGGTGGATGAGATGCGTAGCAAGGAATGACTCCATGGGAATATGAGCAAGTAACTCGAGATAAAAACTAGACAAAAACAGAGGATTCTAGATATCTATAACTTATCCGTTACCCATGTGCATGACTTGGCACACGTTTATGTTTGTCTCTTGATATTCCCAAGGCAAATAAATACCCGTATGTCCCCAAGCGTCCTCCTTTTCATCTAAAGGCCGACACCCTGTTACAACAGTCTAATGATATCGAGCAGACGGATTCAATGACGGAGTGGCTGGTACAATCACTGGCAGCATAGACTGAGCATAATTCGTTCTTCCGGTTTGCTTCCAGGAGCGAAGTCAACACGCACGTGTTGTTCCACTGATTCCTTAATACCATGTGGTCGCGAATAGCCCCTACCATTCGGTCAGATATGTGTGCCGTCCCTGCTCTGTGCCTCAGCGACGCTCTCAGTCTTGACTGTTTCTCTGCCGCAAAGTTGAACCAGCATGGATTCCACCCTTGCTATTGATGCTTCCACAGCCTCGATCCTCTCATGGATGCCTTGAACGTCATCGTCGCCAGTAAACGAACCCCGCAACAGGGGGTTAACGCCGGGAAACATCGAGTCTCTCCTGGTTGGTGTCTTTTTTGCCAACGACTCTGCCGAAGCATCGCTGGTCTGCTGCCACGCAAACTGGCGCCGTATCAGGTGATGCGTCAGCTCGTCGTCCACTGCAATGTCCTGCTCGACCGATTCGGGTGGCGGTAGATCAAACACTGCACGCATATCCCGGTGCGCCGTGATCCTCCAGTTGACCCATAACCACTGCCTGACCCGCGTCAACATCCTCTCAGGCAAATCCGGCTTCTTCGCCGACTCTGCTGGCCAGAGGATACGTCGCTCTGCCACGGCGATGATAAGCAGCAGCGGTAAGTTGACAAAGCGCACAGTGGCTACGTTGATTTTGTGGAACCACCGGGGACTGACAACGAACTTTAGAGGCACCAAGAGAAAGACGGCCAAGATATTGAAAGGGGGCTGATACGAAAAGACAGCGTCGCTTTTAACCCCCTCGAGCGTTAGAACGGCGCGCCGGAACTGTATCTCGGCAGTGGCGTTGGATGCAATTTTGCCGAAGGTATTGGAAAGCATGGACACGAGGATGGTCAAGAAGAGGGTGTTTCCCAGGAAGGCGAATGCAACCATGAGAATGGGGCCTAGTAGCCAGTGAAACCGAGCCTGCAAAAGGAAGAAAAGAAAAATAAGATACGACGAAGAGACGGAGAAAGGAGACACAGATCAAGGGATAAGGAAGTCGAAAGCCCAGGAATATGAGGCTGACGGCCCAGGGGAAGTTGTGATACGTACCGAATTCCCAATGCCCGTTCCATCCAGTCCAAACCATATCCAAAGCATCCATTTGCCGATATCACTGCATTCAACCAGTGTCAGAAGACAGAACAGCGTATTTAGCGTGGAGGCCGGGATGCCCGGGCGTCGGTCAGCATATCTTACACAGGCGAGTGGGCTCCTTCTCCCAGCCACATAAGAGATAGGAGGAAGCCAGCAAAGCACCATGCCGACAACAGGGTGAGTAGAAAGAAGTTGGCCATCATGGATCGCAACGAAAGGAAGACGAGGTTATCAGAAAGCAGGTTAAAAGCTAGTCGCGGCACAAGAACCGGCGCGCCCATGGCGAGAACATCCAGAGCCTGCTGCTTCGATGCTATGCCACCCACGCGGGCGCCGTGGAGCCGCAAGAAGGCATATACCAAGTAAATACCAATGAAGCAGATATCCAGGAACGACCAGAGATTTTGGGAGTAAACACGCCTAAGCACCTGGTGAGCCACAGATTCCCCTTCTTCTCGTCGTGCCCCTTCTTCTGGAGAAAACGCGCGATAACCCCAGGTTGGTAATGTCCACATATGCGAAGTGAAGAGGAGTCATACCATCCGTGCGCCAGAATCGTGGCAAACTGGTCTAGGGACCACCCAAAGGCGTACACGGCGAAACAGGCCTCAATGGGCCCGACTCGCGCTGGGTCGCGCTCGGCCATGACGGTCACGTACAACAAGAGAAGAATCACGAAGCAAATGACGTCAAGAATGTTCCTGGTCCTCGGTACCATGAGGCGGTACTGATTGAGCATAGGCCCCTCACGCGGGTTATAGAGCGAGATGGGTTTCTGCTTATAATGGTCGGGGATGATGTCGATGTAGCTAGAGGGAGTGTACGTGATCTTTCCCTCGTATATAGCATCGACCCTGGGAGCAGATTAACATGCTTGTTACTCTTTCTTGTCCCATTGATTATAAAAGAGGAAAGAAAAAGATGCATAAATAAAACACGCAGCACAGGGTGTGAACGACCAAAACGGAGGGATAATTGGCACTCTGATAATCCCGTCGGGCGGGCCCATCATCTGTGACACTTACACTTTTTGGCATGGAGTCCCACTCAGGAAGTGCTTGCTCTCGGTGAGGATGGCAATTTCCAGAGACGGCAGAGTCCTGTTGAAAGTCCAGTCAGTGCCGGCCAGAGCCTCCTCCCGGATGTGGTCGGGAGCATTCTGAAAAGGCTCGAAGCCGGCGACGAGAATGTTGGCTAGAAGCAAGAGGCCCTCCGGCCCATCGTTGTCTTCGCTGAACCGTCTCAGGATACGAGTCGCCACGAGCTCACACAAAGTCGCCCGGCTGAAATTGACATTCTGACGGTTGTTCAGATGGGATTGCTCGTGGAGAAACTGGGCGCGGTTGACGAGCAAGCAGTAAACGATGGAGATGTCACCAAGATCGTATAGCTTGTCAACAAGCGGCCGGACGATAGCGATGTTCAGCCTCACGTCACGAAGTTGTTCAAAGCTAAGGTAGTCTTCCACCACTGACGATATGTCTCTTCGGATCCTGTGGATATTCGTGTAGACGGGTAGGTGATTGTGAAGATTGGCCGTGCAGCTGTACATGGGGTCTGTTTCGACGGTTGACCTTTGTTGCAACAATAGAGGTCTTCGTTCAGCCTGCCTGCCGTCGGAATCTTGACCATTGTCGCCTGTCCGAGCACGAAGCCTGTCGGATAGTGGCCAGTGTCGGGCCCGATCATGACCATCCCCGCTCATTGAACGACAGGAATTTGCGTCCCGACGATGAGACTAATAATAGGTGAACAGAAGGCTTTCCGCTATGGGCGGTTTTGCTTTGTGTGAACGTATATGTAAAGGGTCATCGAGTTAGTCGAATACTGTAGCTCGCCTTATCGGGGTCGTGACTGTGAAATCACAAGATCAACCTAGCAGGATTAGGTAAGGAATTAGGTTAATTAAAGGAATCTATCTATAGGCTATTACAAAGTAGGATCTGGCTATAGTACTTATATATAGTTATTTTCTCTTAGTAAATACTATCCCTTTATTATACCTAAACTACTATACTATTTAACTAACTTTCCACCTATAGATAAATAGGCGGTCTTCGTTATACCGAGCCAATATAGTCATACCTTAGAAGCTTATACTCCCCTTTACATCGTTACGTTTAATTTAGTTTCGATTTGCCTCTAGCTTCTTATCCGTTTAAGGAAGTCGTGATACTATTATAGTGTTTAGTTAGGGATTTCATCTATCGGCAGAAAAGCCTTAAAGTAATTAAACAGCCCTGTTTATACAGGTTTCGTAAATCTATCGACTAGGTTATCGGCGCTATTAATATACTTAATCCGAAGTCCTTTATAATGAACGGCGTTAAAGGTATAGGCGTAGTTAAGTAGCGTAAACTTACTACGGTTAGATCTTTCCAACTTGGCGATAGCTCCTGTATTATCGACCTTAATAGTAATAGGGTTATTAATAGGGTCTTCGCCTTATCCTTCTTATAACTCACGTGGGGGGGCCTATACTTTACGCGTAAACGCTCTAAACTACTCGAAACCTATATTAACCGATAGCTCTTTTAAGTTCTATACGTCTATATATAGCCCTGTATCGCATAGACGCTAGTTTTAGCGTCCTATAAGTACGAAAATGCCTGGAAATAGGCTTATAGATGTCCCGCATGCGGGGGAAAAGTCTGACGTGGCCCGTGCGCCTACGCTGATAAAGCAGTAAGCCTAGCCACGTAAAGCTGCACCTATAACCTCCACGTAACCCTAACGCTATAAATAATAACCTACTAGCTATAACGCTAGCTATAATAACGTCTCTAATGCCCCTAAACCGCCCCTAAGGCCCCTATAACTATAGAGGGCCTAGGGGAGGTACATATGGGTAATACCTCTAATATAGAGGATTTAACCCTCGTTATGCCTCTTAATTCGAAGAGGCACCTTAGTCCTTTTATACCTACTCCTAGACGGTTTTCTAGGACCCGAACCGAATCCCCCTCTGATTTGGAGGCCGGAGGCGTTTTCGAAACGCCTTTTAGGGCCCCCCTGCTAAAAGACCGAGCTTTTTAGACTCTAAATAGGCTAAAAAGACACCCGGAATAGCTAGGACCTCTAGAGAACCCTTAGCTACGCCCTAGAAGTCGACTAGTTCAGCTAGTAAGGTATAGGCTAAGGACCTACTCTAATAGGCTTTTTAGCTACTTTAATAGGCATATACCCTTAACCCTGCCCCCTAGATTAAGACCCTAGCCGTAGGGCTTAAATCTACTATTAACGGAACCGTAGAAAGCCCTTAGCCACCTACTCTTTAATAGAAAGTCGATAAACGAGCTTAGGCAGTTCGTAGGCTTATAGAATAGCCTAAAACCCAAGATAGCGAAGCTCTAAAGGCGAAAAAAGGCTCTATAGTACCCTAGGCCCTTGTTTTAGGGGCTTTAGCACCTTCGAACCCCCTAGCACTTCTCCTAACAGATCCTAAAAAGGTCGCTAAGGTTATTCTATAACCTACGGTAGGGATAGCGATTCCCCGGGAAAACATCAACCCCCTTAAGCTTCGAAATGGGCTTACTAAGGCCTTAAAAACCCCTGTAGTTACGGCTATCAGCCTATTAACTAACAGGAACATTATTCTAACCCCAGGCCCAAAATATAGCATTTAATAGCTCTTAGACTCGTAGAACTAGGGGTTTAAAGAGCTAAACCTGCCCCTTTAGCCCGTATAACCTATAGGCAAGGGCCTTTCGAAAGGCAAAAAAGGAGGCCTCGGCCACCCAGGCGCCTTTAGAAGCCTCCTGGAAAGAAGCTCGAAACGCCTACTACCAGGCGGTTAAAACAGCGAAAAACGACCACTGGGAGGCCTTTCTAGCCTACGCCGAAGGCCCTGGAATCTTTAAGGCATATAACTATACGAAAAGCGGCCTTAATACGAAAATCCCACCGATTTAAACGCCTACGAAGCAGAAGGCCTATGCCTTCGAAGATAAATGCAACGCCCTACTTCAGACCCTTTTTCCTATACCCTCCGCCACCTACGCCCCCGAAGCCCCTGTATTTATAGGCCCTTCGGGGGACCCAGGCCCCTCTTACCCTTCTACCGGCCCCCAGAGCCTGACTAGATCACGCAGTAAGGGCCTTAGAAGACCGTGGGAGTGGCCTGGCCTTTAGGCTGCCGAACTATAACGTGCTATATTCGGTGCTACTAAGGGGAAAGCCCCAGGGCCTGATAGGATTAGTCTAAAGCCGATCCAGCAGGCCTATAAGGTTATCCCCGGGCCCTTTTTAAAAGCCTATACAGCACTGTTTATAGCAGGCCACCACCCTACCTGCTAGAAAGAAGCCCTAGGGGTCGTTTTACCGAAGCCGGGAAAGAAGGACTATTCTAATCCTAAGTCCTATAGGATTATAGCCCTTCTAAACTGCCTAGGTAAAGTCCTCGAAAGGATTATAGCTGCTAGGCTTAGCTTTATAGCTAATACCCGCAACGACCTTCTACACCCTAGTCAAATAGGGGGTAGAAAACAACGCTCTGCTATTAATATAGCCCTCCTCCTCCTCCACTGTATCGAAAAACAGCGTAAATCACGCCAAAATCCTGTGATTTCTACGCTGTTTTTAGATATTAAAGGAGCCTTCGATCACGTCGCCCGTCCCCAGCTACTTAGATCCCTTCAAGAACTCTAACTACCCTTAAACCTAGTTAAATAGGTAGCCTCTTTTACAGAAAACAGGCGAATCCAACTAGCCTTTAAGGGGCAGGTCCAGCAGCCCACCCCCCTAAATATAGGAGTTCTATAAGGCTCCCCGGTTTCCCCTATTCTTTTCCTAATTTATATTAGGAAGGTTATAACGGGACCGGATTTTCAGGGTCTTCAGTTATCCTATATCGATGATTTTCAGCCATCCATAGCGTCTACGTCGACTAGAAAAAAACTATAAAACCCTAGAAAAAGCCGTAGCCTCCCTTTTCGACGCAGCAAAAGTTAACTAAGTCCTTTTCGACCCTGAAGAAACAGAGCTTATTCACTTCCACCGAAGACACTCTATAGAAGACACTCCGGTTATTATAGGGGGGCACCTAGTTAAACTAGCGCTAGGTGCTATTAGGTAGCTTAGGGTCTGGTTTAATGTGAAGCTATCCTTTAAACCCTACGTCGAAAAACGCCTAAACTTAGCTTTAGGAGCCCTAAACAGGCTATACAGGCTAGCTAGCTCGTAGAGGGGCCTTTCTTTTAAGGCTCTACGGCAGCTATATATAGCCTATATAGCCTCCTTAGCTGATTTCGGCTCGCAGCTCTAGTAGGACCCAAAATCACCGAAAAAACACCTAGTGGACCGCCTAGACCGCTTATAGTATAGCGCTTTAGTTAGGGTATTAGGAGCTTTTAGGGGGGCCCCCTTACGGCCTCTAGAACTCGAAGCAGTAGTCCCCCCGGCAGCGGTTCGGTTAACTAGGTCTAATAGGCTCTATGCCTTTAGGATCTTAAAGTTCCTACCGAACCACCCTATTAAACGCTAGCTCCCAGCAAGCGAAAACCACGAATACCTTACCCGGTTATAGAACCTGCTGCCCATTATATAGTTATATAGGCTAGGCCTAGAAATAGTGGCTTTAGTAGGATAGTCTTAGAATATCGAGGGTTATGCGGCTAGGTACAAAGCCCCCTAGGCTTTGGAACCTATAGCGGATCTAAGACCCTTTTTCCCAAAAGACCAGCCTAAAATAGCCACCGACTCTGGCTATAGCCCCGAAGCCCTTAATCAGAAAACATCCTATATTAAAGCCCTTGCTGAAATATAATAAAATCTAGGCAAATAGGCCGCTATCGTCTATACCAACGAATCCCTAGGCTACTCTATAAGGCCCCTTATAGGGCCTTCGTAAGCTATAGCCGCTATAATATAGTAGACTAATACCGGAAGGCACTGTAAAGCTATAGGCTTTAACCTAGGGCCCGCTACAGAAATCGCAGACGCTAAATTATACGCTATTCGTTAGGCCCTTTATAGTATCTTATAGTAGGCCCCTGGGTCCCTAGAGTGCTATATGTTTAGCGATTTATACACGGGTATTTAGAAGCTTTAGCGTATCTTATAGTGGGCTATAGAAGTAAAAACCCTTATCTTACGCCTTAAATAGCTAAGCACCTCGGTCTCGATATAGTGGTATCCCTTGTACGTAGAGATAGAAGTGAACAAATTAGCGGATAACGTAGCTAAAGGGGCATTAGACCCCGAAAAAACTCCTAAATCCGTTAGTTTCGTTACCCTTAGCCACCTAAAATACCGGGTAAATAGGTCCTTAATTCGAGATTAGAAGGCCCTTTAGAACGATAAAGAGGAGGCGGAAAAAAGACGTAAATCAGTGCGTTTAGGCCGCCTATATAGGCGCTTAGTCCGCGATAACCTCCGCTTCTCCTAAAAAACACTACTAATATAGGGCCCTAGGTAGATAAATCCGGCTTTTACGTAGTTAAAAGCCGGCTTCGAATACCTAAAAACCCACTAAAAAGGGCCTAAATCTACGCTAATAACCGCTATTCCTGTCCCGGCTCCTCTATACAGGATATAGCCTACCTTATCCTTTTCTGCCCTTTTTATAAAAATAAACGAAAAGACCCGCGGGAAGTCCTAGCAGGCCTACCGCTATCTATGCGGCTATTATTTAGTACTACAAGAGGAACACAGGCTTTAGAGGCGTACCTTTTAGCTACTAAAATAGCTTTGGCAGAGTGCTACAGGGCGTAAACCTCGTATTCTGCAGTCTTGTTATTTTGCGTTAGTGTTTCACCTATTAGGTCTATTAGCAGATTGTTACGGAGAATTTCCTTTGTTTATTACTATGCTTTACCATACCTAGCTTCTACTAGCCTTAG